ACATAGAGAAAAGAAAAAGGCATTTTAAAGTAGAAAATAAAATGCTCTAAGTAAATAAAAATGTAATTAACCTCAAAATGTATACATAGATTAAGCCTGTCAGTTAAGGCTCTCAGAATCTACTGCTTCCAGTTCTATGTCTCCTTCTCTTTCTACCCTCCCCTGTTTGCTCTCTGTCTCTCTCTCTCAAAAAAATAATATACATTTTTTAAAAAGTCTCTCGGAAACTATGTGAGATAGAAGATACAGCTAGAGTTTAATAATCTATAATAATAAAATTTTACAGTTATATATATACATATATATGCCAATACTAAATTAAGGCTAATTTAGCTTTAATAATATCAAGCTAAATAGACCTTAAGCAAAACAATCATCAGGAACAAAGAAAGTTAAACAATAATATTGAGAAAAGCTCCCAGACGGTATAGCAAAAATAGAAAGTGTTGAAAAATAGGAGAGAAGAAAAAAAGCAAATTAGAAGGCCACTCCAATCGGTATAATGTCTGAATAAAAGGAATACCAGCAAGAGAAAAGTGGGGAGAAGGGTGGAGAAATTCATTTTAGGAAAAAGAAATTAAGACATAAGACACGCTTTGGCAGATTGAAAAGGGCCACCATCTGTGCCCAACAAAACTGATGAAAATGGACCCACACTAAGGCCTATCATCAGAAAGTTTCAGAATCCTGAGACAAAGAGTGTACACCAAACTTCCAGAAAGAGAGAACAGGTCACTTGGAAAGTGCCAAAATCCTAGTGGCTACAAGTTTCTTAACAGAGTTTTTAGAAGATGGACTGCAATGACATTATGTCTTTCAAAATTCTGAGGAGAAATTCTGTCTAGCCTAGAATGTTATAACTAGCCAAATGGTCAATCATGTGAGAGGGGGCAGCAAAAAGATTTGTTTAAGAAAATGATGTTGAGGGGTGTCTGGGTGGCTCAGTCGGTTGAGCGTCTGACGTTGGCTCAGGTCATGATCTCACGGTTCTTGGGTTCAAGCCCCATGTCGGGCTCTGTGCTGACAGCTAGCTCAGAGCCTGGGGCCTGTTTCAGATTCTGTGTCTCCCTCTCTCGGACCCTCCCCTGCTCGTGCTCTCTCTCTCTGAAATAAAACATTTAAAAAAATGATGTTGATAGAATATTGCTCCCATGAATGTAATGAGAGAAGATTTAAACAATTGGCAGAGAGCTTACTGTTTGAATTAGTGGTAAGTACATAAAACTAAGCAAACATTAAATCCAGACATTTATCAACACTAAGGAAAATGTAAAGTGCGGGAAAACAATCATAGCATGTTTAAGGTTCCATTTTGTAGTCATGGTGTTGTGAATACCTAATATTTATTGAACCAAAAGGATGATATACCTGTATTGTGAGAACCAGGTGATGGCAAAGTGCATGGACATAGTAAGAGCAGAGAGAAAATACCATTTGCAAAGTCAAAGACAAGGCCTAAAACTGAAAGCTCAGGGGTGCCTGGGTGGCTTAGTCAGTTAAGCATCCGAGTCTTGATCTCAGCTCAGGCCTTGGTCTCAGGGTCGTGAATTCAAGCTCCACTACTTTAAAAAACCATTAAAATTTTTAAAAAGAGAAAAAGAAAAACCAAGAGGTAGGTACATAATCTTGTTTGCTCACATGCAAGCAAATAATAAAAGAATCCCCTAAACAATACAAAAGTGGTTGCCTCTAGGATCTTTTTTTTTTTTCAAAATGATGTCATGTCAATCATTCTGCATAGAAATTTTACCAACTTACCCTCCGTTGAGCAATGTATGAGAATACCCACACCTTCACTCTATTAGTTCATGTCCCCTACAGAGTGCTGCCAAGTCAGGGTTACATGTGCAAGGAATATATACTGAGAAGAATAGCTGGGGAAGATAAAGGGAAGAGGGAGGAGGCTTCAGACCACATGCAGGTGTGACACCTGTGAAGAAGTATTGGGTAGAATAGTCTCAGATGACAGTACAGGTAAATGGGGAGTCCTAGAGCAAATGCTGCTCAATAGAGGAGTTCTGCAGTGAACAGGAGTAGACTAACTATACTATTACCACCATTTTTAATTATTGGCTAAGAGTAGCCTTGGGAAAATATGGCTTCAGTGTGTGAAATGCAACAGATCAGAAAATGCAACATCAATCCAAAAAAAAAAAAAAGGCCTTTACTCATGGCAATTGTTGCTTTCTGGGTGTAAATACTGCCACTGTGGTCATGGCCAGTTTCAAGCTACTACTGTGACAATGTGATGACTCATTAATGAATGCGGAGTTTGAAAAAGATGCTAACAGTTGCCTTTCCCAAACCAAGAGCTAGTTCCAGGAAGCTATGAGTTGTGCTCTGGGCAGCAGGTTTTCACGAAGGAAGACCTGAGCAGTGCACCTTCTTAGCCACCATATTCACCAGGCTAGTGTGATAACCAAGTTTTTGGGTTTGGTTTTGTTTGGGTTTTTTGTTTTGTTTTGTTTTTTTGTTTTGTTTTGTTTCTGAGAGACAGAAAGAGAGAGAGAGACAGCAGTCGAATGTGGGGGAGGACAAAAAGAGAGAGAGAATCTTAAGCAGGCTCCATGCTCAGCGGGTAGCCTGATGTGGGGCTTCATCCCACAACCATGAGATCATGACCTGAGTGGAAGTCAAGAGTCCAACACCCTACCAACTGAGCCACCCAGGTACCCAAACTAAGTTTTGCTTGTAACAAATTGAAAATGGAATGTCAGTGTAGTTTATCACTTTACTTTGCATTTTACTTAATATGCCTGAGGCTGAGGTTCTCTTGATATATAGATTATGTTAAATACATTTATTATTTTGTATCCAGATGGCCAACAGACACATGAAACGATGCTCAGCATCCCTCCTCATCAGGGAAATACAAATCAAAACCACACTGAGATACCACCTCACACCAGTCAAAGTGGCTAAAATGAGCAAATCAGAGAACTCTAGATGCTGGCGAGGATGAGGAGAAACGGGCACCCTCCTACACTGTTGGTGGGAATGTAAACTGGTACAGCCCCTCTGGAAAACAGTGTGGAGGTTCCTCAGGAAACTAACAATAGAACTCCCCTAGGACCCAGCAATAGCACTGCTAGGAATTTACCCAAGGGATACAGAAATGCTGAGGCATAGGAGCACATGTACCCCAATGTTCATAGCAGCACTCTCCACAATAGCTAAAACATGGAAAGAGCCTAAGTGTCCATCAACAGATGAATGGATCAAGAAGATGTGGTTTATCTATACCATGGAATACTACATGGCAATGAGAAACAATGAAATCCGTCCATGTGTAGCAACATGGATGGACCTTGAGGGTGTTATGCTGAGCGAAATAAGTCAGGCAGAGAAGGACAAATATCATATGTGTGCACGTATAGGAGGATTAGGAGGAACTTAACGGAGGAACAAGGGGGAGAAGAAAGGGGGAAATGGTGGGGGAAAGGGAGAGAGGCAAACCATGAGAGACTCTTGAATGCTGACAAAAACTGAGGACTGATGGATGTGGGGGGGAGGGGGGGAGGGGCATGGAGGAGGGCACTTGTGGGGATGAGCACTGGGTGTTATGTGGAAACTAATTTGACAATAAACTATTTGTAAAAAAGAAATGCATTTATTATTTTGTAACACATTTAATGTATTTCCCTTCTATGAGCTGAGCCAATCTTCTGATTATTGCTATTAAAACTTTTGTGCCTAAATAACTGAAATCTTAATGTATTGATCTTAACATATAAATTCTTACAATAAGTGAAATATAAATATTGCTATCATCTCCTTATCATATTTCAACATTTTTAAAATTAACTTCTCTCAATCCTTTCCAGAGGGTAAATAGGAAAGAAATAAATGCACCTTTAAAAGCTTGATGTAAATGGAATGTAAAATCATAAAACAATTTACTATAATTGCTCCTTTTTCTCTAATTTTTAAACTAATGTGTATAGCATCAAAACACAATGTCTGCACTTAACTTTCAGGGATATAGGTTTTTTTAATTAATATTAAAGTTAATTGAGTGTAGAAATTTAATGGAAAAAAGTCACTGAATAGTTTCTATTTACCTCCCAACATACATAGAATAATAACAATGATGTAGTGGGGAATTTTCCATCTGAGCAGCCTACAAGGACAGAGCAGAATCTTTAGGGAAATTAAGTTTGTAATATTATCATTATGAACATATTTTAATAATAGATGCATTCTATATGGACTCATTTTTACGTTATTAGTTGAGATTATTGGTTGTATCCTATTAGCTTGATGTAGCAAGTTGAAAATCATTCACTATTAAGTTAGAAGCTAGGAAGCTCTGGATGAAGTGCTTTTAAGTCTTTGAAGGTCTTTTATGTTCTTTTAAGATATTACATATTTTAAGTATTTCTAGTTGTACAGATAACACTGAATGAGCAGAATCTTGAACCAGACCAGACATCAGAAATCATTCAAGTCTCTAGCCACAAAAGTAATTAGACAAAATTTAAAGCAAAGGCTATAAGAAGAAACCAAAAAGGCAAAAACTTAAGACTTTTCCATAGACTTTTTTCATGTTAACTTATCAAGCATCACTACTATATATATATATATCTGGAGAGGAGGAGACAAAAGATCTATGAATGCATAGCATTTTAATATGTTATAGTTTTCCAAAGAAAATACATCTATTTCATATCTTTTAGTCAATTACCTAGTTCGTAAACTGTATGTGACCCCAAATGCTACTGCTTTTCTTCTGTTCCAACTCCTCCGACCACACCCTCCACTTTTTCAGACCACAACTTCCAACCACAACCATTGTCCCAGTAACTGTTATTATCAACCAGAAAGCAAGCAAAAGAAGCAGATGAAAATTAACAAAAAGCAACTGAATATTATAATTTAAGGCAAGTAGGGTGAAGAGTGAACATGTGGCTAAAAAGACATTTCGATTATCTGTAAACTCCTTTTATCTTAATTTCCTCAAAACATAGGACCCACAGTACTCAGAAAAAAAAGAAACTTACCTCATCCACATTTTCAAAGGCATTGATGATGTCATAAGGTAAACACGACAACAGATCGATCACAAACCAAGTTTTCAGATAATTCATCCTTATCAGCTTGGGGTCAGAAATGACCTCTCCACCAGGTCCCACAAAGGTCGTGTGAAAATTTAAAACAATGTCAACCAGAAAAATAACGTCCACCACACTGTCCAGCACCAGCCAGGCTATGTTGTTCTGCTTCGTTTTGAAGGAAACGTTATAAGGAACCATAATGGCGGTGTAGAAGGTAAGAATTAAAATCACCCAATCCCAAGTAGTTTTAAAAGCACAATAGTGTAAAATAATGTGTGGTGGCGTCTTTGGAGCTTCTTGTTTATACTGAGGAAGGATATCTGATCCCAGCTGAAGAACCTAAAAGAGAGACAATGTGCATATAAATGACTTGGACATCTCTGCAATTCAGTGAATTCAAATTCAATGAAAGTCAAACCACAGTGTATTTTTCATGACTCCTGGTTTCCAGACTAGTCAACCCCTATAGGTCTGTCTCCCACTTCTGAGTTGTACTGAAATTTGTTCAAAGGAAGTTAATCTGCTGTTCCACCTGGCTTTCTCTCCAGGGGCCAACTGTTAATTCACAATCTGGCCCCCAAACACCAAAGGCAAGAAGAAACCAAAGAAAAAGGCAGACTACTCTTCAGATTGTTAGGTGGTAGATTTAATAAGCTAGGCAACATACTTACAAGACTAGTAGATCTCCACACCCACCCACCAGAATCTTAAAAGATTAGTAGGTGTCCTTACTGAGTCCAGTCTCATATACCGTCCTAATGGTCCCAGAAAATATCCTACTGTTTCAGTGTTATGTCCTTGAATGGCTCCTACTGTGGGAATAGAGGGGCAGAGTGTACATTCGAAGGACATGAATGAGGAGCCTTCAATTGCCTGGGTCAGCTCAAGGGTCAACCAGCAGTCACATCCTCTGGATGACTTGCTCCGGCACCAACACTGATCCACAGCACTGCTGGATATCCACTTCTGGGACTGCTTTCTGTACACTCACTTGCAAGCCTGCCCAAAATCACATCTCTAACTTGATTATACAGCAGTTATTTGGGTGACTCATTATTATCCATTCTTCACACATATTTAGCACCTCAGAGAGCATAACTTTGATTCTGATGGCCTCGCTGAACCCCAGGAACACACTGTCGGTGATCTTGCTGTTGAGTGGGACTCAGCAAGGCCCCTAATGACTAGCATAGTGATATCAGGGTTGTAAATATTATAGCCTACTTTTTCCTTTTCTCCCTTTGACCTGTATTAAAGAACTGTATTTCCTGCCCAGATGCATATTCTCTTTAGGGAAAAAAGTGCTAAATACTCAGGTTTGCTTCTCTCTACCTATACGACAAGTGGAAAATTTTCACTGCAAGGTTATTTGAACCTTGACTTACTCTAAGCAGGTCTAATTAAAGAGACAAAGACAGAAAGCAGATGACAGAGCAAGAGTAGAGGTCTGGGCAGCACTGGGCAAAAGTAACAAACATAGACTTAGCATTGTTTTCCAGATCCTGGAAACTTTGAAAAGGGGTTGAAGAAATAGATCAGAGAGTTCTGCTCCATGTCTTCAATGAAGCTAAGGCTGAGTAAACCTATGTGTTAAGGAGTTTGTAAATAAGACTTTGATAAATAATATTTCCAGCAGCTTTTTCACCTAATATATCCAACTAGTCAATGTCTCCAGGACTAATAGGATCCAGTAGGATTTAAAAAGTTACCACTAAGTTATAAATTCATTAAATATTTAAATGTAAGAATAGATATAAACAAAAATAACTATTAGCATGTAACTCACAAGCCACAAAGCAAAGCAAATATACTAGCACTTCTTGAAACTTGAGAATTATCCTGAAAAGTTTCTTTCATGCATAGAACTTACATAACTGAAAACTAAGTATATAATACCCACCATTAATATTTTGAAATGTAAAAAACATCACTAGTATTCTCTTTAGTTGTGTATTATAACCATTGTTGTTAGTCTGGGGGCTATACAAACTATTTATAAAGATTTTTATGTATTTATCCTCATTATCAGTGCCCAGCCATATTTTTCCCATAAGGTCTTAACTACTTAGCAGCAAATTTTCCTACCAGGAATGAAAGCTTCATTTGGAGATAGAGCTTTATGTATACAGCATCATACATAATCATGGTTTCTCTTTCACTTGATAACCACTGGTCTATCCATTCCAACTTCACTGTATTAGACATGAAAACACTCTTCATAGTCAATGGTAGTATTTTACCATCTATATCTACACAGACTATAGTTGGAGCACAAAGAAATTATACTTAGAAAATAAACTCAGTGCCAGGGTGCATTACGACCTTTACAGGCCCTGAGCATTTTTGCCTTCCTGACCCCTCCTCCATAAAATATAAAATAAAATAGGGGCACCTGGTTGGTTAAATATCCAACTCTTGATTTCAGCTCGGGTCATGAGCTCATGGTCATGGGATCAAGCCCTGTGTCGAGCTCTCCACTAACAGCATGGACCTACTACTTAGTATTCTCTCTCTCTGCCCCTCCCCTGCTCACTCTCACTCTCTCTCTCTCAAAATAAACAAATAAACATTTAAAAATAAATAAATAAAATAAAAATTGCATTTTACAACTGCATTGTTGCAAAGAAGAAAAATTAATAGTATATATTCAAGTTTTTAACCTCAAAGTTTAATTTTTTCTTCTACTGTTAATAGAAAGTCAAACAGCTCATGGACCCCTAAAAGCACTGTGTTTTTAGACAGGCCCCACACACTGTGTTTATAGACAAGTCTTCTCTGCCTAGCACCTTGGCAGAACAGGAGATTTCTTCTCTAGAGATGGAATGGGATCACTCCTAAGGTCTGTCCGTCTCCCTTAAATCTGACTAAAATCTAGAATCATCTGACGACAGTTTTTAAACTACGGTATACTCTTTTTCAGGCCTATATTTTTTGAAACTTCAAAACCTTTCTTGGGTGATTATAACATATGGTCCAAGGTAAAACTCTTGTCTGATATTTCTTTAGCCAGTCGGGACCCAGTTTAGATAGTGACGTGCACATGTAAAAAGGATCCAGAAAAGCTACAGGAGGACAAGGAGCAAAAGCATGGCATCAACAACAAAGGGACACATATGCTTGCACTTTGATGTCTCTCACATGCAGAGCACTACTTTCATCTTCTCTCTGGCACTGGGGTGCTTTTATAAAGCAGTAACAAGTCTTCACTTTCATTGCTATTCCACTTGTACTTTCATAAGCGATGAGCCTGAGGTGGAGGGGAATGAAAACACATTGTCTGATGTATTTTTGTATCAATACAGACACATTCTTTCTCTCTGAATATCTGAGAGCACTGACGCTAATAGAATCAGGACCATGGGCACGGCATTGTTATGGATATTTATCTCTCCACCAGTATAAAAGTGGAAAGCTGAAGCTAGTTAGCAGGATATCAGTTCATGTGGACAATTGATGAACTGCTACACAGAGACCAGGATCTCTGAAACTGGGAATCAGCTCCAAATGAAGGTGTCCAGAGGGAACTGAGATTAAATTTATAGGTCTTGGAAAAAGTGAAAGCCTGAAATTTACCAGCAAATCCAAATACTCTGGTTGAACACAACTTAAGATTCTGAGTAAAATTTTTGAAATGATAACCTTTTGCAAACTTGATGCTACTTGTGGGTCAACCTTTGAACTCAGAGCACATGCAAGCAAAGTATCTTTTGAGAATCTTGTTATCTCTTCATGTTCTCTGAAATCGAGCCTGTGACCTGACAGAAACTATTCTGTATCTGAGTCAGGTTTGTGAATTAGGGATGATCAATAAAGAAACCAACAATAATCAAAAGGCAAAGCAAAAAAATAAAAACAAAATAAAATCAGATGGGAAGAAACAAGAATTAAATTTACTAAAAAAGAAAAACAAAAGAAAAACATGAGCTGTCGAGGGGAGAGAAACTTTGCAATTGATGCAGAAGAAAAAAAACAATGAGTGATTCAGGGTGCTAAGGTAAAAAAATTTCCTCTCTACAGTCCCTTTCCTCTTGTTCTTGCCCAATGGTATAACAGAGAAAAGAATAACTCTGAATAAGCTATCGTTAAGAGCTGGAAAAAATCATAGCTATGAAAGTCAGCAGTTACACAAACAAGCTCTTCCACTCCAGCTTGTTTTATAGAAAGAAAGGGACAACTGAGGCAGAAAAGAAAACTGTAAAATCAAGTAGTACGTCATAACAAGAATTATTGACAAAGGAAAGTTGTATCTAACAGTCTGCTTTAAATTTTGTGCTAATTGGGGATCGCCTGGGTGGCTCGGTTGGTTAAGCATCTGACTTCAGCTCAGGTCATGATATCACAGTTCATGAGTTCAAGCCCAGTATCAGGCTCTGTGCTGACAGATCAGAGTCTGGAGTCTGCGTCAGATTCCATGTCTCCCTTTCTCTCTGTCCCTCCCTCACTCACGCTCTGTCTCCCTCTCTCTCTCAAAAATAAAATTTCTTTAAAACTTTAAATCTTGTGCCAATTGTATATTGTCTTTTAAAATATTGAAATTATCATTATTATTAATATTTAGTTGTATTCATGGTCACACGTGGGTTTTTATAAACATGTTTGCACATCCAAGTTTTAGTCTCTCCCTAAGCTAACAGTGCTATTTAAAGCAGAAAGCCTTTCAAGTCCCCCAGTTAGCTACGGTCCAAGAAAAACTCCAGAATTCTCCAAATTCAAGGAACATACTTTACTTTCTAACCCTCTCCAAACCAAATTTAATATCTGCAACCAGTTCAGAAAGGTACTCTAGAGTGCTTCAACTCACTTTTCTCCAGCAGAGAAAACTGATGAACACAGACATTTAATTTTATCTCTCTCTTTTTTGGTAAGCCATCTCAAAACGTTTTCTGAGTGCCCACTAACTGCTCTACCGAGCTTTGGTAGCTTAATTAATTTTTGGCATTGTTCATACCAGGAAGACAAGTGATGATTAAAGAAGACACATGAACAGCAAAGCTTCTACCTGGAGTCCTGCCCTTAATTCCTTTTCTCTCTGGGTCACTATACTTTCTCTGGATAACATCATCGTCCTATGGCACCAACGACTGCAACTCAGACCCAGATATCCCTCCAGAGCCAGACCCGTAAGTCCCTCTACCTTTGAGGCATCCCTACTTGGATGTTCTGTCAGTCACTTCAAACTTAATATGGCCCAAACTGAACTCATTGCCATTGCCCACAACCGTCTCTGCCTCCTTTTATATTTGCTGCTTTTTTAGCCAACAGTACTAGGCAACAAATACTTTGACTCTAATCTTGGTGTGTCTGCAATCTGTCCACTTCTGCTCCTGGTTTCCTTGCTTAAAGCCATAGCCAACCTAGCTGATTTACCACTAAGTCCTCTTAACTGGTTTTTCTGTCCTCCCATTCAACACAGAGCCACTAGATCAAGCAGGGTTCTTAATCATTTTTGGACAAGGGATCTCTTTTGGCAATCTGGTGAAATCTATGGACTCCTTCTTAGAATCATGTTTTTAAATTAATACAAGAAAAACAGCACTGCAAAGAAAACCATAGGGACTAATGTCCTTTTGAGAGGTTTCTCTGAAGCACAAATGTGATCATATCTCTTCCCTAACATGGGACACCAACCACTCCTGTTCTGCTATACATTACTTTAAACCTTCCTTCACCTGACTTCATCCAAAGTGAACTCACACTCAGAGTCATCCTACAGTCTCATCTCTATGCCTCTGCCCATGCTGTTCTCCCTGGTAGGAATGACCTGCATCCCTTCTTTACCTATTTCTTATATTTTTCCTTCAAGATTCACTCAGCCCAGGTATCATCTCACACAGGTAAGCCTCCCTAGAGCCTCAAGTCAAGGTAAATGCTCTTGCGTGTGTTCCCACTGCACTCTGTCATCCTATTTATAACATTCTATGGTCACTGTTTTCTTGATCTTTAGTTCCTTGATGGTAGAGCCCATGGCATATTCATCTTCACATCCTTGATAGAGTACCAAGTACAGAGACAACCCTCAATGAGTGTGTGCTACATACATAAATGGATGAAATGAGTGAACTTCCTATCTCATTTACTCAAAATTTCACCCTCTACAGGTATCACTTGGGATATCATGAACTAGTTTCCCATTTCAAAAATACAAGAGAATAAAAAGATATATTTGAAGTTTCTATAAATCTACACAAGAAAAATAATTAGAAGATAAGTACTTACAAAATAATAACCACAAATATCTATATCGAATCATTTCAGGGGAAAAAATGTACTCCCACCACCATCTTGGGAAGGAAAGTTAGTCTCCCACTTACTTCAGCTAATCTTGAATGTTTGTGGACCACCTCTGTTTTATTCATTGGCGTGAGCTGCTGCAAAACACTTCGGCTATTTGTCAAGGCCCGTGTCAACCGGGCAAATTTTGTCCAACCTTAAAAGTAAGGAGAGAAAGTCTCAGTTTTTCACATATAATGAATATGGAACCCAACATTCTTGCTAATAATATTCAGGGGATCTCAGAAACAGCATAACATCCAGAACTAATAAAAAGTGTCAATCTAAAGCACTTTATTTCTCCATAGACATCACCACATATTTCAAGTGTAACTATAAAGTAATGAGTAATTTTTATGTGTGACCTTTCTGTTTTGCTCATATCTATTACATGGTTCCTGTAGCCAAGGTACAGCTCTCCACAAAATTCTGTGTTCCCCATTGAATTTTACAGATTTGTTACTGGAAAACAGCTGCCCAGCCAAAAATATTATTTCCTAGCATTCTTTGCATCCAGCCATGCCCACGCCCCTAGTTCTCATCAATGGAATGAAAGCAGAAATGTTATGTGTCACTCTCATATATGCCACAACTTAAGAAGCAAGTGAGACTTCTCTGCACTTTCTCCCTCCTTCCACCAGCTGGATGCAAGTGACAAAAAGCCCCTAGGGAATAGTAAAGCACTGACTCCATGAAGGGAAGACTGCCATATGCCATGGATCTTCTGCCTTAGACTTTAATGTGAGCAAGAAATATCTTTCTGTTGTGTTAAGCTACTGGAAGATGGGGGGTTATTTATTATAGCCTAATAAAAAACAATTTTACTGTGCATTCATGTGTAGATATATACACATAATAAAATGAAACCCTATTTCAACAAATCTCACATATTATGGTTCATATCATATTTTCATCTTTTTTGTAACATAGCAAAATGTTATTTCTCTCTTGCTAATTACAGTCATGTCTAAAATATCATTCTTTAAATATCTAGAATCGCTAACATTGTTTTCTGAAAGAGAAGTAATTTTAATTCCTGGGGGGAGGGGCTGTGAATTTAATGAGAAAGAAATTTCTACCCAAGGCCTCAAATTTCCATTATTAAAATAATTAGCTTCAAGGAAATGTCAAGGGGATATGAATAAGTAGAGCAAAACTAACCATACTCTGAACCTGTATCAATTATCCTTTCTCTAGATATTCCAAAAGCACTAATTTATTAAAGATCCAATACGACCATTTGATAACTTCTATGATATTGCCCTTCACTAGGTTATTTGCCAAATAACTCCTTAAATTTAGGAAAACTTCTGATGGTCTCAAGGAAAGATGGTAATGACAATGATGAAATTTCAGACGCTGTGAACAAAAATGAAGAAATCCTCAGCAGAAACCAGTCAAATGCCTTTCAAATTATACTAGGTAGATGATATCATACTTTACTATCATTCTTCAAGCTAATTCTGACTTCATTTAAGTTTTGTGTTTCCTCACCAGTTCAGCTCCCTCTATAGTACCCAACAAATGGATTATAAAATAAGTAAACTGGCATCAATTGATATAATGTCCTTAATTCCCCATTAATGGACTTAATCCTAGTGACTAGAAAAAAAAGAAAAGATAGGCTTTGGGAATTGTATGTATCCCTAAGGCTAACCCTGTGCAATGTGCTGAAGGAAGGGAGAGAGGGAGGGAGGGAGGGAGGAAGGAAAAAGAAAAGAAGAACCACCACCACCACCAGATATGCCACCAGCTCTCTAAGAACTTGTCAATGTAAAAGACCAATGTGCAATCTGTGTCACCAGTCTAGACTCTTCTTCTCAGAATTAGACCTATCTTGTATCTAATCAGCCACTAGCCAACTTTGACAAATATGTTCTATAGGCATCTGACACTCAGCATGTGCAACACTGACATCATCTTCTCCCTTCATCTCCAACTCTTCATCGTTCATGTATTCTTGGACTTGGTGACTAGCCCCATGATATGTTCAGATGTCCAAATCAGAAACTTGAAATTTACCATCCTCCTTCACTGTTACCTCCATACCCACGTGGATACCCACGTATCCAATCACTTCCAAGACTTGTAGACTATAACCTATTAATAAATTCACTCAAGTTGAATCTCCTCTTTCCATCTCTATATGTCAGACAATCTTCAACCTGAGTTAGGTTGGCAGCATCTTAAAGACTATACTCGGGGCGCCTGGGTGGCTTAGTCGGTTAAACGTCCGACTTTCGCTTAGGTCATGATCTCGCGGTTTGTGGATTCGAGCCCCGCGTCGGGCTCTGTGCTGACTGCCAGCTCAGAGCCCGGAGCCTATTTCAGAGTCTGTATCTCCCTCTCTCTCTGACCCTCCCCTGCTCACGCTCTCTCTCTCTCCTAGAAATAAATAAAAATATTAAAAAAAAAAAAAAAGACTATACTCTATATCTACTCTCTGACCATATACTCTCCAAGAAACTCTACATTGCTGCCAAAGTACTTCCCATTTCCCTATTTCAAACTCTTTAGGAGATCCCTGGAGGCCTTCAGAGTAACAGTGCATTTTCTTGGTATATGGGTCATTTAGTTTCTGACCAAAGATTTCCTCTGCATTCATCTCCTTCTACTTCTCTATACATACTCTGTATGCTATCCCTACTAAAATTAATAGCAAATTAAAAGAAGAATAAGTTAAGAACTAAAATTAAATCTTCTGGGAATTCTCTGTACATCCTATGATATTCATTGCATCCAGGTTTTCAAGCATTATAATCATTCTGCCTGCCTGAAATGCTTCCCCCATTCCCATATGTCTGGCTAACACTGACTGCCACCTCTAGATTCAGTTAAAGCATTATCTCCTTCTGGCTGCTTCTTTGATCCACTCATAAGAGAGCTGTCCTCCTCTGTGCTTGCACATCATAGGATAAATACCCCACGTGGCACTTGCAACACTAATGGCAGTTGTTGATTAACATGCTAGTCAACTCTTACTGAACTATTTATTGTTCATCTCTCCATATTCAAGCACTTGATCAGGGTCTGGCATAAAACAGGCCATTAATTAACTAATTGACTTACTTGTAACTTAAAAATCAGATTTAAAAAAACCCCCCTTTGTTTTATTATCATGGGTTGGATTTGGTTTTGCTTTGTTGGGTAAATATTAAGGGTGTCTTCAGATGACAATGTTGGCAATAGATACATTAAAGTATTTCCTGTGATCATTTCTCTTTCTTACTTCAATTTGATATTATAATTGCATTGAATGTTTCTAGAAACTTCCAAAGCAATGTTATACTAATTGAAGCTTCATATTTTTAAGACAAGTAATGTTACACACAGTATGTCTAAGTATTAGATTAAAAAAGCACATTTTTATTCCCAGAATAAGGTTAATCCAGAAAATATTTTGAAAAAATATTAAAAGAGATATTGAAAGAATAAATTCGTTGACACATGGAAGAATACAAATCATCAAATGACATGTGTTCTCTCATTTCCCACAGTCATGGTTAGGATTAGGGCTTTTTTTATAATTCTCAGTTCTCAACAGTTAGCATTTTTCTCAAAACCCCTATACCACCCCTCCTTCCTCACTCTCAGCCAATTACCTTGTCAAATGTTATTGAATAAACAGAGGCCATAAGAAAGACGATACCCTTCAATTTCCTTTCTGTCCCCTCCATCTCTAGACCCACCCACATGGCACTGAATCTTGCCTGCCTCTTTATAATCTCAAAGAGGTAGACATTGGCTCTTTTCTGATCATGCTTATGTTCTACTCATGGGCATTTAAGTGGTTTCTAGATTTTTCACTATCACTAACAACACCACAGTAAATTTCCTATGCCAATCCTTTTGTGCCCTTGGACACATCTGAAATTGCCTAAGTTATTAACTAAATTAGTTCATTTGCTCTATCACCAACCCCCCCCCCCCATACAGTCGAACTAAAAAAGTTGAGAAGCCATACTGTCTAGGTCAGAAAAAAAGGCACATCAGCAGTTCTAACTTTTTCCAGCGATACATTTACTGATCTCACCTTTACAGAGACCTAACTGGTATAACTGCTTATTCAGCACAGTTCGCTGATGTTACTTAGATGTGGTCGATATGGGGTAATGTGAACAGAGAGCTGAATATGAAGAGCCTAAAACTTGCTCTATGAGTTGCTCGTGGAATTATGAGAACATTTGTTCTCCTAAAAGCTCAGGATGCCAGCTCCTTCTTAATAAAACATTAGTTTAGCTCTATTGGGTTGCAATTAACCTCTTTGTCATGGACTGCCTAATCTTAAAAATAAGAGGAAGTCAAAGAGGCAGTTAAATCAATCTTACTAGACTGCAACACAAGATTCTAATCTATAAGAAAAAAAGCTTAGGCAAACAATTATACACTTGGCCAAAGAGACTACATGGTATAATTACTCATATTTCATATGTTGTTTCCTCTCTAAAGAAAACCATTGGCTTCCCACAAGGGGAAGGCTGCTATTTTTGCTGTTAGTTTCACTCTATAGGAATTTTTTGTCTCAATTATTGGCATGAAGATGCCATAACTATTTGGCACAGGATATTTCACACCGTAAGTGTCTTGGCAGTTTTGGAATCTGTATTACAATACTGCACAGATAAATGGGTAGAGATTCTGGTCATCTCTTTTAGAGCACATATGGATAATCAACAGAATGGATTTCTTGGCTGTAATTTTTCCCCTTTGTATTATTACAAATGATGAATCGGGTACCATTGACTGATTAGCTCAGTAACAGTTCTAAGACCTCAGTACCAGGAACAAAAGATAACAAGAATGCTTTGCTCCCTTGAATTATTATCAGTAAATTTCATTGGTTTAACACAGTACAATTCTGCTAGAATCATAGTGCTCTCAATTGTTGCAGGGGAAAAAAAGGAAAGCAGAGGATTAAAGTAGCCAAAATGCAATAGTAAGTTTCCAACAGAAAGGATAAGACAGCATAGTGCAATAGGGAGAATATGGGATTGAAAATCAGTCACACTTTTCATGTCAGGAGACAGTAAAACAGAGATAGCAATACTAATTTTCAGAATTGTGTAGGAAAGAACAATAAAGAATATAAAGTTCCTGTCAGATAGTGACTACTCCATCAAAACAGGTTTCCTTCTCCCTCAATGGTTTTTACCACCA